AGTGGTTTTAAAAAAGAAAAAAACATCCAGAGTGTTTGGTTGTGTAGCCATGTGTTCAGCTGGAACTTCTATTGCTATGGAAGAAAAGGAGAGTATACATTTAGAGACAGTAAGCAGTCTCTGCCATAGGGAGTACTCTGACCTTTGGCACTATTAGTACAGTTTCCAATTTAGTAGCAAATCATGTTACATTAAGAATGCCCAATATCATTAATATAGTGACTTACTGAATTAATGTGACATTATAGCAAGAGCAACGAAGTAAGAGTAAGGTTATTTGGATGCTAGTCCTGACCCTACCCTTTTACTAGCTTTATGACCTGGGTAAGTTGCAATGTTTCTAAGTATTAAACTGCTCATCCAAAAGGTAAGGATTAAATGAGATGATTGCTACGTCCATTGAGTTCTAAGGACATTTGATTTCAACTCTACAAATGGATATTTTCAGACTGTTTCCTCCCTATTTGTCATTTCAAGAGTCAAGCACTTGCTTACAGTGTTCCCAGGAGCCCCCCTCATGTATAACGACTACTGTAAATATTGTTCAAATAATATTTACTTCTCATTCTCAAATAGTTCATCTTTGATTCTCCATTCAAGAGTTTGTATTTTACTATTTGAGGCACTGAAAGTGAATGAGAGCTTTTCTCCCTAATATTTATTATAGACTTAGGGCTAAATTCGATCAGGGTAACAAATCTAAATCCCTGACTTTATTTTATATTTTTTTTTTCTTTTTTTAAATTATTTTTCTTTTTCTAAATTTTTTTTTTGCGGTACGCGGGCCTCTCACTGTTGTGGCCTCTCCCGCTGCGGAGCACAGGCTCCGGACGCGCAAGCTCAGCGGCCGTGGCTCACGGGCCCAGCCACTCCGCGGCATGTGGGATCTTCCCGGACCAGGGCACGAACCGGTGTCCCCTGCATCGGCAGGCGCAGTCTCAACCACTGTGCCACCAGGGAAGCCCAGTACAACTTTTTTAACATAAAAATAAATTACTTTTACATTGCTTACTAAAGATAGTTATCATCAATTAGATACACAATTCTTAGTTTATTGTGCTTTAACTAAAATATGATTTATCTACTAAAAAACTGAAGCCAAATGGACTATAAATGGTTAATATAGAGATATCAAAAAGAAGAAATGATTGAATATAAAATCAATCCACTGATACAACCCAGCATTTTTATTAAAGAAATTGCCATAATTTTTAGGAAGGAAAAGAATCTTAGATGAAGTGATGCCAGTTACAGTATATGAGAGTTATACTAGAGTTTGTTCATTTAATTTACTGAAACTAAATATTCTTAGAGGGCTGGGTATAGAAATTTTTCTATCAAGAACTGACAATCCAGCCTTACAGCTACAATATAACTGCACTCTTATCACAAGGTCATTGCCTGAATTTCGGCAAAATTAATTCAAGAAGCTAACCTATCTCTTTACACTAATGCTTCCCAAACTTTGGAGAGCATAACAACCACCTGTGAGATTGTTAATATGCAGCATTCTCAACCTTATCCCCTAAAGATTCTGATTCACTGTGTCTGGAGTTGGGCCTAATAATCCACATTTTAAAATGCACCTTAAGTGTTTGTGATACAGCTAATTTACAGACCAGACTTTTCGAAACACTGCCTGAGTTAGTTTAGAAACACCCATTTTCCTTTTTAACCCTCCAGCCATTAACAGTCCGTTGGATAAGTAATATACCTTCAGTGGTGAAAAGGAAGAATAAATTCCAAATGAGTTCTATCATCCCGTTCTGAAGTTCATATGAAGGACTGCATTCTCTTCTTAGATTCCTTGTTACCTAATTTAAGAGTTCCTTTTTAGAGGGGGAAGCCCTAGAATTTAATTTGAGGTACCCAAGTCTATTCTTAATCAGCAAATACTATTTCTATAGCTTTTAAAGAAACACCTAATTCCTGAGTTGATTTCATCACAAATGTTCTTCCATATCATGATAGCAAACATGTAACAAAATCATTGTCAGTAGGGACTTCCCTGGTAGCGCAGTGGTTAAGAATCCGCCTGCCAATTCAGGGGACACGGGTTCGAGCCCTGGTCTGGGAAGATCCCACATGCCGCGGAGCAACTAAGCCCATGCGCCACAACTACTGAGCCTGCGCTCTGGAGCCCGCGAACCACAACTACTGAATCCTGCACACCTAGAGCCCGTGCTCCAAAACAAGAGAAGCCACCGCAGTGAGAAGCCTACACACGACAACGAAGAGTAGCCCCCGCTCACTGCAACTAGGGAAAGTCCGCGCACAGCAACAAAGATCCAATGCAGGCAAAAATAAATTAATTAATTAATTTAATTTTTAAAAAAATCATTGTCAGTAAAAATTTCCTTCCCAGTGAATTATCATTTCCCTTAGATGAGTCTTTCTATATTTTAAAAAAACGTATTTACTCTCTTTAACATAGTTTTAAAGTTCTTTCAGACAAAAAAGTATTCACATCTTTATAAATTGTTATTATTTGTTTTCTGAATTAATTTATGCAATATGAAAATAGAAAGCTTACAAATGCAAATCATGTTAACAGTAGAAGAATTTGGAGAAAAATTCCTCTATTTTGGAAGTCTGACAGTTCTGAACTGTCTTTTAATTTCCTAGTTTCTTTTACTTCCACTTCAAGAGAAACAAAATTGAAATTCATTTTTCTCTGAAAGGGCTAAAAGAAACTTGCTGTATAGCACCATTTACACAAACTATTCAAAAGCGGTTAGAGCATTATGGAGTCTAAAGGGCATTACTTAAAACCACTCAGCTCTTGCTCTATTAAAGACAGGGTACTTTCCCCCTTACCTTGATCTACTTCTGTTTTCCATTAACCACTTTAAGTAGTCAGTAGACATGGGTTTTATCCTTAGTTTTAACTTGCCTGCAAAGCCATTTCATTCAGTAAGTATATACTTATCAAAGAACCATTGTCCACATAGATCTGTGTCAAATACCTTGGGAGGTCAGAAGGAAGACAGGGAAGAAGGGAAGGAGGGCGAGAAGGAGGGCAGAAGGAAGGAAGGAAACAAAGTTTTGACCACGTGTACGGATTTGTAATCTATTTTGGCTAGCAGTTATATGTATTATCCAGCTCATATGTATTTACAGCTCTACTCCTCATAAGTCATCTTGACTCAGTTTCCTCTGATTGTAGTGCATGAGGTTGGCTTAACTGGTGCTCTTGCTTCCCTGAACTGTTTCAGAGTCTCTATTAGTGAGTCTTTATAGCGTTTCTCTGCATAGTATGCCAATAATTATTCTACTACAACTGGTCCAGAAGCTGTTTGTATCTACAGTCATGTATCCATGGCTTACACCTGACCCAGTGGAAATGTAATCAGCATAATTTACAAACTCCATGTCATCATTCTTGATGAATATTTATTAAAATTTGATGTTAAGAATTAGGCAACATTGCCTAAAAAGTTAAAAAGTATCTCATAATCACTGAAGACTTTAGTATAGCTATTACTTTCTATATTGTGTCAGTTTTACAGTTCATTGCTAAAAATATCTTCCATACTTTTGTGAACCAGCAGTCCAGAGAATATATCTTATTGAGCCCAATTTCTTGTTATCCACGACATAACATATCTGTGTAGTGCCACAGTAGGTGGATACAGTGGTCAATTTTAGATCTGAAAATATTTTGCCTTGTCTTAATTTCCTCAAGATAGGCTGTTCTACTACCTATCTGCATTAGCTTTCTATTGCTACTGTAACAAGTAACCACAAACTTGGTGGCTTGAAACAACACACGTTTTATCTTACATTTCTATCGGTTAGAAGTGGAATACAGATTTCACTGAGCTAAAATCAAGACAGCCTTCCTTTCTGGAGACTTCATTTCCTTGCCTTTTCCAGCTTCTAGAAGCCATCTACATTCCTTGGCTCATGGTCCCCTTATTCCATCTTCAAAGCTGCTCCTCCGTTGTCATATCTACCTCTGACCACAGCCAGGAAAGTTTCTGGCTGTGGTCAGCGGTAGATTCATGTGACTAGATTGGACCCAACTGGATAATGCAAGATAATCTCCCCATCTCAGGGTCCTCAACCTTAATCAAATCAACAAAGTCCCTTTTTCCATGTTGCCACATAAGGTAACATATTCACAGGTTCCAGGATTAGGACTTGGACATCTTTGGGGAGCCACTACTCTGCCTTCTGTGCTGTCAGTCTCAGTCCACAGGTAAGATGACTATAACACATGTATTTGATCTATTATGTATCTATATTTATAATTAGAGGACATTCATAATCATATGAAAATATTTTTTTATCATATTCCACTATTGGCTTCCAAGTACATTGTTTTACCCTTAAGAACACCTTCACAGAAAAGACTGTGAGTAAAGCTGGACTTTTAATATCATCCTTCTCGGCCACTTTAATGATTGGGTGTCTTTGACATAGGATACTACTAATTTTAACAGAATTGTTTATATTACTGCATACAGCTTTGTGATCTTAATGAATTTGTTTAAACATTCAAATTTAGTATCTGCCCCAGTCTAAGAGGGACAGATATTTCATAAGTAATAATTGCTACTATATATTGAGCTCTATTATGAGTTTCACATTCATTACTTCATTCTCTTTTTGACTGAATGCTATAAAAGAAGTCTATTATTCCCATTTCACAGATGAGGAAACTAAAGTTTCTAGTATCACAGAACTAGTAAGTAGCAGAATGGGGCATTCAAATATAGGTCTTTCTAAGATATATAATTTTCCACTATATTGTGTTAAATTTCCATAAACATTAAGTAAATCAAGTTATGTGTGGAGGTATATTGTTATTTCCTGCACATATCATGAATTCCTCATGCTAAACAAATCACATCCAATGTATTACATAGTGGTCTTGGGCCACAAATAATTTTAGAAATGCACAACTGACATAGTTCAAAGGGCCTAGACAGAAGCATACTGGCTAGCAACAAAAAGTGATAGTAAATATTTTTATAAAATCACTAGACTTGTTTTACCTTCATTGTTGATGTCTTCTAACTTGACTAAACTGTCCATGTGGTCTGTAGTGCCCCTATTGCTTAGAGATACCTGGAAGACAACATCATGAAAAATTCCTCATACAATGTTTATATCACTCCCAGAACACAGATGTATTAAGAACTGCTATTATATTGTTCTAAAACTCTGTGTAAGCAGTTTAAATCCTTTCACTACCTAAGCCAAAATGAAGAGAAGGATTGTTCAAACAGAAAATCTGAATAATTCAGTCCTCTCTTGGAAGGAAACAAAGTTAATCTCTCTGGACTCTATATAGTTGAAGAATCACTGGATCATTACACAAGTCTCTACCTCACTTTGGATGTGTAGATTTTGAAGACCCATGGGCATAAAAGAAAACATGTTTAAACTCGTGCACAAAACTTATGTAAGTATGATCAAGTATATAATGTTAAGATCAATATTTTGTTTAATTTAACCTGTCCTTTAAAACAAAAGATCAGCATGTTTGAAATGATTTAGATTTCTAAAGTCCATCTATTATTATGAAGCTTGGGAAAAGGACCCAGAAGCTACTTAGCATTTCTATTTTTTCATGAAGTGGTTCTTTAGCAACCTTGAAGTCTATATATAAATATAATAACATATTCAACCTTTAACCTGTCAATACATATAAGCAACAAATAAAGAAAAAATAAAACAGGCAGATTTCCCTCCTATCAACCTTGATTTAATCTATATTACTCTTGATTGGATAGGATAACCAGAGTCTTTTCTTGGAAAAGTTTCCCACCATACAGGTACATTTCATTTTGAAATATCTAGGACCCACAGACTATACTATGTCTTAAGAATTTTTTTGCTATAATTCTAGACGTATAAGACTATTCGACTTGTTTATTGATTCAATTCAATTTAGTTCTCTGATCATTTAGTATCTACTATAGATTGACATCAGCCTTCAGAGTAGTGTCAGCTTTCACAGCATTTTGTGTATCTTCCAAAATAGAGAATAAAAAGTAGCAGCTCAGATTAATTCATTAGCAGACTTCATGCCCATGTTAAAATTAAACTTTCTAGATCCTTTAGGGTAGAAGGTATAATTTGTTTGTTCTAATTTTTTTAATTTAAGTAACTTTAGTTAGGGCAGATCATTCATTAGCGTTCCCGCAACTCCTTACTGTCTTAACAGTTTTTCTTCGCCCATTTACATTAGCTATATTGAACCCTTGCAAGCATTTGAGTTTCAGCCCCAGAAGAGTCTAATCACCTTATTTTTAATTAGAAAACAAATGTTCACAGAGATTAAATAACTTGGCCAAGGTGACCCAGCTAGTTAGTGGCACTGAGCCAGAGTCAAAATCCAAGTATACTGGCCTTTTCTCTAAGGCACTGTATTCATTTCACTACTTTTTCTTTCTCTTTATCAGCACCTAACACTTATCTGAAATAAGAAGTCTCTGTGGGTTTTGTTTTTTTTAAGTTTTAAAAACTGCATCGTGGCACTTACAATTTTTATTCCTATCTCAAGTTTAAAAATATCATTAACAGATTAAGCACATTACTACATGCTGTTTTGGTGTTTGCACTACTCCCCCGCCTTTCCACTGCCTTTTAGCTGTCCAGAGAGCTAGTAAAGCGAAAAGAGAGTTATAAAATTACAAAAGAGAAAAGAATGAAGGGTTTAGATAGTTGAGCAGGCATGGGGGGAGTGGGGCGTTATCGGAGGGAATAACTGTAGAGGAAGGACAAGGAAGAAGGAAAAAATGAAACAGTGGTTCCTGAAGACCTGAGATAGGAAGTGTTGAGAAATAAAGACAGCTAGGTCATCAATCATTGTTGCTTTAGGGGATGTGCTGATTCTAGCTGATTTTTCCTTAGGCTCATGTAGCCAGCACCAAACAAAATTGTGAAGTATGCAAAGCTCCTCTTGGAATTCTTTGTACTTTCTTGCATTCAGCTCTATTTTTTTTTTAAAATGCAGTGCTTTTTCTTCTTTCTCTGATCCATCTCAGGCTGAAAACCAGCTCTCATTTAACACCTTAGCTTTAAGACTTACTCTCTCCTGGACTGTTGACATTTGAAGTCCTATCTTTTAATTGCAGGATACAAGAACCTTTCTGAAAGGGATCATTTAAACATCGGTGAGCAGAGAGGAAATTATTTGAAGATGAAGGAATCCTGCCTTTACGTAAGGTGCACTTTATTCATATCAAGCCTAATTTCTAAAGTACCCAGCATACCCCCTTTCCCTATTCAAAGCCCTAGGTTAAATTTTTAATGGACAAGAAAGGTGCAGAGTCTGAGAAGGCAATGGCAATCACCAAGTAAATACTACATTTTTATAAAATTAACTAAGGGAAGCATCAATGAAGATGCTTATTCCAAACAAGCTGATGTAACCCCTGGCTTATATTCAATTATCTGTGTGATTCATGGGAAAGTAACATTTCTCATCAATTATCTACTTAGCTATTCAGTAGAGAAAATATTCAGTAGTGGACCTTAACCAATTTAGTATTTATAAACAATATCTTATTTCTCTTCATAATTGAGAGTAGAATAAGCATAAGTAAAATAAGCAGAATTTCCATAAATTAGTAAACTAAAGTCACTAGAAAGTTGATTGCTGTAATCAAGATCATGAAGGTCAGTAGAAAAATAAAAGCTTACTCAAAACTTCTAGATTCTGGAGCTAGACTGTTTGGTTTCAAATATGGGTTCTGCCACTTGCCTCAATACCTCATCTACAGAATGGTAATAATAATAATACCTGCCTCATGCAGTTGTTATGAGGATCAAGATAATACTTCCATCAAAGTGTTTAGAACCTGGTTTGGTGCTTTATAAGTGCTTGTTAAATAAAATACTATGACTATTATTTCTTTCTTGACTCTGAAGGCAACTAGTTAGGTCTACAAAATGACCTCATAAATCTGACATATAATTCAAATTGACATTGAACTTACACATCTATATCCAATTAACTCATTGCCTTGAACATGGTGCAAATGAAGAAAAGGTTATTTCATTTTTTGCATAGCTACAGACTTCAACATATCAAAAATGCACTTTCTTTGAAAGGAAATTGGACAGCAGAGTGTGCATGAGGCATCACTTCTCAATTATGTTATGTTTATAAAATGATGGAGAGTATGTTTGCCTTCAAAGTCCGTAACTTTTTTCCAACAGCTTTATTGAGATATAATTTACACATTATTACAATTCATCCTGTCAATAGTGAACAACATTAGTGTTTATTGATTGGCTACTATGTCCCAGTAATAAACATATTGTTTCATTTAATCTTTATAAAAATTCTTTAACATAGGTACTGTTATTCCCAATTTAATGACTAAACTATAAGTTAAACACTTTGCAGCTAGAGGTTGAGATGAGGTTTGAACTCATGTTCATATGACTCCACTATTTTTCCCATATCATGCTGCCTTTCTCTGGAAAACTACTTAGTTCTCTTTCAGAGGTTGGGTGGGAAAGGAGGGAAACGTAACCCTTTGATGGTATTCATAGTTAAACAAACTCTAATTTTTAACTTGTCAAGAGTCAAATGTATAAGAAATAGCAGTAATTGGAAGCTGTTTCCAGAATTTCAAATCAAGGATGATACGATAATACAAAATAGTATTATTTCAAAGAAAATAAGCAGTAATAATGCTGATACACACAAATTACAATACCAATATACACTACCTTTGGAAGGATTTAGCACTTCTTAGTAGCATATTACACCCAGTTACTGCATTCTCACCAAATGAGTTAGGGTAGAGGTTGAAAATGAGTAAACAAGAGAGATCATGCAGGAATTCTTATCCATCGTTTAGTCTTTTCACATCACGTGTTATCTTAAAGTCAAATCTCCAGACATCTTCATGCTTGGAATTACTTAAGCAGTTTTGCCACAATTCATTTATGAAACACATATTTGGGTGGTTCTTATGTGTTAGGCAGCATTGTGCTAGCCGCTAGTTGTACAAAGGTTTTGGGGGGGTTGTTTTATGACTCTAGTGCAGCTCAGTTTACATTTTAATTTAGGCTTTCATACGGAGTGGTAATTAGTGTACTATAGTGTATAGATAGCCAGTGGGCTTTGGAAGCTGGATTGCCTCTCCACTTACTGTGTGACGTTGGCATTTAACTTTTGAGAAACTCGATTTTCCCATTTATAACACAACTAGCTTCAAATAATAGCTGGTATTATCTACTTTCAGGTGCACACACCATGCGAAGGTGCGCCTAAGAAAATGTTACTTCCTAACATCTAGAAGAATGGGTTTCTTGCCCGTTTTTTCCCCTTTAGTACCTGGCATTATTCGATACATATTTTACACTGTTCACCGAGGAACTGGAACATGTTTTTCACTGCAGCTTAGCTATCTGGGTGTGCCTGGGGAGGCGTCACAAAGAACCTGTAAAAGGTCTCCACCTACAGCAGGAATAGAAGCGCAAGAAAGAGCCCAGGCAGATCACTGCGGCTAAGCGTTCGGTTTCGTATTGTTCTCTGTTTGGCCCAATATTCACGGGGTTTAGGTTCCGCGACTCGCAACGAAAAGACTCGAGTCACGGACCTGTTAAAAATTTTCTGCCATATTTTAGACGTCCCCACGCCCTCCGCCCCACCCTCAAGCGTGAGTGAATGCGCAAATAAGGGTTTTCAGGCGTCTGTGGGAAAGAGGGAGGGGAAGGCAGAAGTCAAGGACGGACGGGGTGGTGGCACCACTGAAGCGCGAGAGGACCGAGGCCCCACAGACAAGAGTTAAAACCAGGCGGTCGCGGGCCGGAGGAGGCCGAGGCGAGCTGCTGGACGGGCGGGAGCCGATGGGGGGCAGCAGACCACCGCGGCGCACTCACTCCGCCCGGGCCCAACGCTTCTCCGGAGGCGCACCCCCCCAACCTTACGTCTCTTTTGGTTTCGACCTGCCGACTGGGAGGGGCCGCGGGACGCCATTCCCACAATGCTCTGGGGCGTGCCGCCGTCCGTCGCTGCCGCCTCCGCTACCGCTAGTGGAAGAAGATGGCGGAAGGCGGAGCGGCGGATTTGGACATCCAGCGGTCTGACATCGCGACGCTGCTCAAAACCCCGCTCCGGAAAGGGGACACCTGGTGAGGGAAAGGGGTTGAGGTGGCTGTGGTTACCCGAGGGTGGTGGAGAACTGGGCGGGAACTGCGGTCTGGTGTCTCGGTGGTGACAGGTGCGGGCAGGTCCGGCGGCGGCCGCCTCGGGCAGCAGGATTTTGGCCGCTCCCGAAAGGTTGGAGCAAAGATTGGACCCGAAATGAGGGACAGGGTTCGTGGCTCGTCGGGGCATGCTAAGAGGCTTGCGGGGAGCGGCGGCGGCGCCGGCGGCTCGTGCAGTTCTCTTCGTCCTTCTTCCTCTGGTAGTGCCGCTCCCACCCCAGGCCTTCCCGAACGATAGGTTACACTCGTTGGTGTGAGTCTCTTAATGTTTGACAGGTCCTGGTCCCGCAGCTGATCAGGATCTCACCCTCTACTTCTTTAGTCATTTCTTTTCCCGGCATTGTCGGCCTCCAAGTTCCCTATTCTGATTCTCATATTCTTCCGGGAGGCCGGCTGCAGGATGTTTGCGGTTCGTACTACACAGGTGGCATGTGTCAGGGCGCCACTTAAGAGAAAGGAACCTTAGTTCCTAGTTCCTTGTCAAAAGGAGGGAGGGGAGTACGGAACCTTAGGCTTCTGAGTGGTACCACGTGGTCTTGTGCCTTGGAGGCTTGATAGACGCCGGTAGCGTTTCTCTTAGAAGTGCAGCTCTTCCCTCCTGTTTGAAGGATAACGCAGACCTGCAAAAAGTAGATAAGTCCACTTGAGGCTTAAGTCACTTGTTAACGTTCAAACTTATAAAATACGAAAGGATATACTTAAAATACTGAAGGAAGTATTTGGAGATTTTAATATTTGTGGGCCATATCAAGTGGTATTCAGAGTAACTTCAGTATGTGAATATGTAACATAAAGTGCTCTGTTTTATTAGGAAGTATAATGCGCTTCTTTATTATAATAAAAGTTATTTTCATTTCTTATCATCACCATACAGTGGTATATAATTTAGAGTGTTTTTTCATTTACTCGATATGGCTTAGTGGAAGGAACGTAAGATTTAGACCCAAATTAGACCTTTTCACCACTTAGTTTGCAGTATGACTTTGAGAAAAGTTACTTTAAATCATTGCACCTCAGTACCTTCATCTATGAAATGGACAGAATAATTTCATTATAGGGGTTTATCCTGAGTCAATGAAATATTCTAAAAGATTATTTATGAGATAACATTAAATTTTAGTTACCTTCTTATCACCGCCATTTCTGATACAATGCTGTGGTATTAGAATCATTTTCAAGTAAACTAGTAGATGGCAGACTTGGGACTTGAATTTAAGTACTTTGATCTAAGTCTTGGTACTTTTTTCCTACTTTGTTAGGCTGCATACTATGTTTATGTGATAAAAACCCCTGAGGATGTAAACATATACTTGTTGCATTACAGCAAAAAATATTTAATAATTATTGTTCATATGGCAGTGTTCCTAAGATGTTTATTACTGTGGGGAAATTAGACATTTCCTAGGACATTTACGTTTACCTTGGCCTGTGGATTGTTAAAGATGAAATGAATCCTTGATTCTTATTGTTTGTTAAAGAACACTTTAAAATTCTTAATTTACCTTGCCTATTACCACCTCATAAAAAAATAAATGTGGATTTCCACAAAATAGAAATCTATAATTTAATATATAGATATTATTTATATGGGTATTCTCTTTAATGTTGTTGTGGTTTTGATATACTGAGTAATAATTGGTGGTGTTGATACTACAGGATGATGTGAGCAATATGAGTATTGTGAGCACTAAATGTTAAAGTTTAGCATTTTTATTTTTTGACAGAGTTACTGTAAATCATTTTAAAAGATCTATTTAAAAGAGTAAATACAGGAAGTCTATAAATGAGTCATTTCAGTGCTTCCATTTTAAAGAAAAGGAAACTGAGGCCCAGATATTTAGGTAACAGCAGAATGTGCAAATTTTTATCTTCACAATTGATTTCCCCTCTTATTTAAAGAAAAAAATGCAGGAAAAAGATGGTACTGGGATACTGCAGAAACTATATAGTTTGGTTTATATGCGAGCCAGTTTTCTTGGAATTAGCAGGTGAAACCTGTCAAAAAAGGAATTAACAAAAGTTTGATTCAGAGTTTTAAGGAGAATAATTTCATAAGTACAAATTTGATAATGTATTCATGAGTACAGAATTAGTAAAGATATTTAATAATTTAGTTGTAACTTGGGCTCATGTTTTTGGAACTCATTAAAACTTGTTAAAAAGTTATCTCTCTTTTTAAGGTCTTAAAAAATCGTTGGATTAGTCATTTATGGGTATTTGGGCAAATCCTGTTTGTTATTTTATAGCTGAAATGGGCCATATGCAAATGGAACATTGTCTTGGTATATGTATATAACTATCTTGGAAAGACTGATAAGGACTATTGAGAAAAAATGGTAGGTTTACCATGAGTTTATTCTTGAAATTTTAATACTAATGTTTGATGTTACAATGAAATGTGTGCAGATGAATAAAGTTCATTAATTAGGTTGTGAGCACTTTGCAGATAAGGACTGCCTCTTAGTACGCTGGTAATTAATGCTAACACCTGGGCAAGGATAAAAATTTGCTTCTACATGAATTTCTGTTTATTTGTAAATGGTGAATGATTTTTATCTGGAAGCTAACCTTCTAGAAATGAAAATAAGTTACACATGTCTGAGATGAGGAGAAACAAACCTTATGATATGTTTGGTATTAGACTTCATAGTGACAGTAATGTCAAAATTGATGCAAGAGAGTTGTACCTCTTAAAAAGGTTGGGTATAAAAGTAACACAGATCTGCATCCGATGGAGTAAAGCAGTGGTCTTGTATGCTGTTTCTTGATCTGTGTTTAGCTCCAAGGAGAGATTCAGAAAACCAGGAACAAGACTGTTAGAATTTAGAAACTATAGAGGAAGAATAAAGGAACTAGAACTGTTTAGCTTAGGATGAATGAAAGATAATTTAATTTTCAGATACATGGTAGTTTCTCCTGATAAGATAAAAGGAAAATTTGTTTAAAGTTCATTCCATGTAAGTATATTAGGGATGGAGGAACCTATTGAAGGGGATAATAGTTAAATGAATAAATGTACAAAAGCATGTTGTGGGTTATGGAATACTCTCTTTAGAGATTTCTTTTAAAATAGATTTATTATGAGTAAATAAACAGATGACTACAAATCACCAAAATCACTGCTTTATTTCCCCATTTTATTAAATGTTATTCATCTACCAATCATTTTCACTAATTTTTATGTTCAAGTATGTTCAAAGCTAACTTTATAAATTAAATTTTGCATGTCATTTTAATATAAACCCTAATAAAATAACTCTAGTAGGTTTAAGGTAACTTTGGAGAGTAGCTTTAATTTGCATTTAGAGTCATTTAAAATATGTATGATGTTTTTGTCTCAATAAACTGCCAAGGAATCACATCAGTCAGGTTTTTAGATAGGAGAGACACTAATTTCAATTTCAGAGCTTTCCTTCCATTCCTACTCTTTTACCTAGAAGTCTTTGAGGCTTTATTTTATATGGTCCCTTATGTTTTTGCGACTTAGATTTACACTAACAGAAAATAATCTTAAGTCAAAAAATCAGTTAATAATGTAAACGGACACTATTAATCAATATGAACTCCAGATTGTTTAGTGTGTACTTGTTGAGAAGTTTTTACATTACTGTTACTGTTAACTTTAGTTGTACCAAAGTGTTTACCACTGAAATAGGGTATATATTACATCATTTGCAGGAAATGAAACCAGAAAGCAAAACTGTTTTTTAGTGTTGGTAAATTGATGAAAGTAAGGACAGAAATAGGGACATTAAAGTGTATTTTTCACATTTTAGTTGCTTAAAATCGAGAAAAGCAATTTTTCCTAATTGTTTTCATAAGTTTTAAAATCACTTGTAAGTGGTTAGTGAAGCCAAGATTAATGTACCCTAATTGGCCAAGAAGATCCAGAGCTTTAGTCAGTGTTTTCATTTATCTACTTAGTGACATTCAGGCTTTATTTTTTCCTAAATCATACCATTTTTTTTATTAGCACATACAAGGTATTAACTAGATGTTCTTTTTAGAAAATAGTTTTGTGACAGTTACTAATCTTGCTTGCATGAAAGTATAATAAGAAAAAAATTGTCAGGCTATGACCGATCATATTACATTTAAAAACACTGTGCTAGGTATTGTTGAAGTACTTACATATGTTAACTAATTTACTCATCACCACAATTCTAGGGTACTAGAATGTGAATGTGCTCTAACTCACATTTGCCAGAATAGGAATTCACCCGGATAGGCTCAAAGAGGTGTTCACACATTGATATATCTGAGATTCGAACCCAAGCAGTCTGGGGCTTTAATTCAGGCTTTAAAATTACTGTTCTACGCTGCCTTTTATTTTAAAGATGCATTTTAAAGTGTTCCACTTTTTTAAAAAATGGACATTCTTTTCTCTTTAAATGGAGTCTATTTTATATTTAGCAGCAGAATTCTTCCATTTTATCCCACACTTGTTTCTTGTGACTGTTCAGTTTAGATATGGTAGAAAATCTTAACATCTTGCTTTTGGAAATTAAAATATGTTTAAAGATTAATAGGTTATTTACTGAATATGTAGAATAAATATTATTTTGATGCAAAAGTACATTTAAACAAAAGAAACTGGGATCGTGTATTATTTAGATTTGGGGTTTTAATTGTTTATCAGTAATCATAAGTGATTTGTTAGAGGCCATATGGCCCCTTTTCATATAGTTTTACAGAAAGAGCATATCAAGCAGATAGGAAGAACTTGTAGGATATTTTGTTTTAGTACTTTGCCCATATTTTTAAAAGTGTTTGGTTTACAATAAACCACAAATACATAAGACTTTTTTTCAACTAAGA